GGTCTTGTTTTTGTATCCATTCAGCCAGACTATGTCTTTTGGTTGGAGGATTTAATCCATTTACATTTAAGGTAATTATCGATATGTATGTTCTTAATGCCATCTTATTAATTGTTCTGGATTTGTTTTCTTTTTTGGGGGCGTGGTTTTTCTTCCCTTCCTCTTTTGTTTTCTGCTTTTGTGATTTGATGACTTTCTTTAGTGTTGTCTTTGGGTGCTTTTTCTTTCTTGTGTGTTTATCTATTATAGATTTTTGGTTTGCAGCTCCCATGAGGTTTTGATATAGCAGTCTCTCTCTCTCTCTATCTATCTATCTCTCTCTCTCTCTATATATATATATACACACACACACATATATATGTATATATATATACACACACACACATATATATATGTGTGTGTGTATATACACACACATGATTATTTTAAGCTACTGGCCTCTTAATTTCAAATGCATTTCCAACATCCTGCACTTATACTCTCCTCTTCTCACAGTTGCTGGTTTTGATATCATATTTGTGTGTGGATGATTTCCTACCTTTACTGTATGTTTGCCTTTACCGGTGAGCTTTCTCATTTGTAATTTTGTTTGTAGTTGTGGCCTTTTCTTTTCCAGCTAGAGAGATTCCTTTAGCATTTGCTGCAAAGGTGGTCTGGTGGTGCTGAATTCGCTTAGCTTTTGCTTGTCTGTAAAGCTTTTGACTTCTCTGTCAAATCTGAATGACAGCCTTGCTGAGTAGCGTATTCTTGGTTGTAGGTTCTTCCCTTTCATCACTTAAAATATTGTATATCATACCACTCCCTTCTGGCCTGCAGAGTTTCTGCTAAAAAATCAGTTGATAACCTTATGGCAGTTCCCTTGTATTTATTTATTGCTCTTCTCTTATTGCTTTTAATATTTTTTCTTTGTCTTTAATTTTTGTCAGTTTGATTACTATGAGTCTTGGCATGTTCCTCCTTGGGTTTATCCTGTATGCGCTCTCTGTGCTTCCTGGACTCGGGTGACTGTTTCCTTTCCCATGTTAGGGAAGTTTTCAGCTGTTATCTCTTCAAATATTTTCTCAGGCCCTTTCTCTCTCTCTTCTCCTTCTGGGACCCCTATAATGTGAATGTTGATGTGTTTAATGTTGTCCCAGAGGTCTCTGAGACTGTCCTCATTTCTTTTCACTCTTTTTTCTGTCCCACAGCAGTGGTTTCCACCAATCTGTCCTCCAGCTCACTTATTCATTCTTCTGCCTAATTTATTCTGCTATTGATTCTGTCTAGTGTATTTTTCATTTCAGTCATTATATTGTTCATCTCTGTTCTTTAAAGCTTCTAGCTCTTTATTAAACATTTTTGTATCCTCTGTGTGCTGTGCCTCCATTCTTTTTTCTGAGATCTCAGATCCTCTTTACTATCATTACACTGAATTCTTTGTCAGGTAGATTGCCTATCTCCACTTCACTTGGTTGTTCTTCTGGGGTTTTATCTTAGTCCTTCGTCTGGAACATATTTCTCTGCCACCTCATTCTGTCTAACTTTTCTGTGTTTGTGGTCTCCACTCCTCAGGCTGCAGGACTGTAATTTTTCTTGGTTCTGGCTTCTGCCCCTGGTGAGTGAGGTTAGTCCAGGGGCTTGTGCACACTTTCCTGGTGTGTAGGGCTGGGTCTTGTCCCTCTGGAGGGCAGGGCCGTGTCAAGGGGTATGTTTACAGGTGGCTGTTGGCTCAGGACAACTTTAGGCAGCCTGTCTCCTGATGGGTGGGGCTCACCCTGTTGGTTGTTTGGCCTGTGGCATCCAATCACTGGAGCTTGCAGGCTGTTGGGTGGGGCCGGGTCTCAGTGCCAAAATGGCAATCTCCAGGAGAACTCATGCTGATGAGTATTCCCTGGGGCATCCACCATCAGTGTCCTTGCCCACAGTGAGCCACAGCCAACCCCCCGTCTCCCCAGGAGACCCTCGAAGACCCACAGGTAGGTCTGGCCCAGGCTCTTATGGAGTCACTGCTTTGCCCTGGTCCCTGTGCCTGTGAAACCTTGTGTATGCCCTCAAAGAGTGGAGTCTCTGTTTCCTCCAGTCCTGTGGAGCTCTTGCACTCAAGCCCCACTGGCCTTCAAAGCCAAATGCTCCGGGGGCTCCTCCTCCTGATGCCATACCCCAGGCTGGGGAGCCTGACATAGGGCTCCCAACTCTCATTCCTGTGGGAGAACCTCTGTGATCTAATTATTTTCCAGCCTGTGGGTCACCCACCTGGTGGGTATGGGATTTCATTATATCATGAAAGCACCCCTCCTACCATCTTGTGGCTTCTTCTTTGTCTTTGGGTGTAGAATATCTTTTTTGGTAGGTCTGAGTCTTTTTTGTTGATGGCTGTTCAGCGGTTAGTTATGATTTTGGTGTTTTAGTGAGAGGAGGTGAGCTCAAGTCCTTCTACTCTGCCATCTTGTCCTCATACATTTCTTCAGTAATTGGTTTTAATATGTGGTCTCCAGGCTTCCACTGGAATATTTATTTATAATGGCCATTTGTTTTAAGAGCAAGCTTCTTTTTCACTTAATTGATAAACAAAAGCAGATCCCAGAAAAGATCAGGAAGTTGTGCCGGGCCCTTTCTGAGTCTTAGGTTTCTTTCCTAAAATGATACTCTGACTAGATGACTGTGCCTGCTCTCCCTGTCGTCTCAGGCAGCATCATAACCACTTCCCTTGTGGCTCCCATCCTTCCATGATCTGGCCATTTAGCCTCTTCTTTCTTTTAAAATATTTTCCTTGAAGAAAACCATCCAGCTCACTATTATTACAAAGGTGCTTTAACTAAAATCACTATAAATATACGAGGCATCATATTACAGTAGAAAGAACACAGGTTATTCAGTCAGACAAACCATGTTCCAATAACTTTGAGCTGATTCTTCAATTTCTGCTTCAGTTTTGCTCTACAAGTTAAATACTGGTAACTACCAGGACAGTTGTTGTGAGGGTTAACTGACCTTACACATACAGAACACTTAGCTTAATGCCTGGTACTTAGTAAATGCTCAGTAAACGTTAGCTGCTGTTACTATTATAATTATTGTCATCATATTTCTTGTTTCTATTATTATCATAGTGTATAGGACCCATTCTACTTTTCTAACTGAAGTAAATGGAGTCATCTAACTTTTTTTAGCTGAAGCAAATGAAGTCATCTGTGTTTCTTTCTTTACTGATACAGAGAAGGGGGAAAAATCAGTTGCCACTTCTGGCAGGAAAAATGACATACTGTAGTTGTTGACTAGTACTCTGAGTGATGACTAAGTAATACATGTTCCCCAAAGTTATAAATCAGTTTGCTACTAAAATATTTTCCAGATTTCAGAACAGAGAGCTCTGTAGTTATATCCTCATCCACTATAAAATAATCTCTCAACTATCCTGCCTGCAATTAAAAAGATCTTTATTAGCAAAAGATGTGTTCCAACAGCATGTTCCATGATGTCAGAAATACTTTTAAAGTAATCATTAAATACTATAAAATATCAGATTGTTAGAAAATAAAAAACATATTGTTGAATGAGAAGGGAGAGTCTAAATTGAATGCCACAGTAAGTGGTACCATGTTTTGGGGAAGAAAAACAAAAAAACAAAAAGCAGCAGCATCCCTGTTTTAATGTCTTGGTACCCCCCTGTCCTATTCCATAGGCATAAAGAACTGTGTTCTCCATGAGCTTCTATGGGTAGATGGACACTCACTATTCATACACAATATGACCATAAGGCCCATGTTTCCATTTCATGTTAGTTATAACCACCGAATTCCAAAAGCAAGCCAAACTAACAGGGACCATATTTTTAGTTTACTATGTGAACTAATAGTAATGTGATTTTGGATTGACTATGCATTTCTTTTATATCATGAGTACTTAGTTGTAAAGATGCTTCATTTTGTCAGGGTTCACTAAATGAGGTTATACTTTACATCTTAAAGTACATTAAACCCTAAGGGAACAATACTGATGCCAATTAGGGTAAGAAGTAAGAACTTTATACCTTTTCTTATATAATGTTTCAAGGCCTTTCATGTTAGGCACAAGCAGTTTTATGACAACATAACAATTATCAAATGAAGGTGATAATTTGTCACAGATGTCACCTTTATACAATATGGTTTGCTAGAAATCAGAGTGGAGAGCAGAAACATGCAAACAAGATTTTTCTTCTGCTAGGTGACTCTGGGCTTTGACTTGTTCTTGTAAAATTAATAACACTTCAGCATGTTTCTGAATAGTTCCTTTTTCGTATATATCCATATGTCTGTTATCCATTTGTATATACATGTGTGTATGAATATATAAGTATTTACATATGCAGCTATAGCAAAATGTCCAACTGGTTTTTTTTCATAAAAATATCAAAATGTAAACATTTAAATGGATGTGATATGGTCAATGCAATCACCTTGGCTCCAGATGCCCTTCAACAGACACAGCTCTAGAGGACGTGGGGGTGGGGAGGGGGTAGTGTGAGCCACAGAGTAGGAAGCAGAAGAACAAGGTTTCATCCGTGATCTATGAAAATTTATGAACAACCCTGGATGCCACTTCTATTTAACAACAAAATACAGGTAGCAGTACTTGCCTTCCTACCAACCGGAATCATTTGTTGCAGTGAGTGGAATAATGAATGTAAAAATATTTTTTAAGCTATAAATATATTATAAGTGATAAGATACTTTCAAGACAGTTTTGCTGCTTTGAGAAGCATTTAAAAATGGAATGATAGTCTAACTGTATGTATTATTTTCTGTCTATTCCAAAAAAGGAGGAAAAATGTTTTGTTTTTGACAAAGATTCTTTTATATTTCTAAAGAATACATAATAAAACATTTTAGTGCATGGGGTCAAGTTAGCATAAAAATACAGTATCTCATTTCTTGAGATAAAGTATGAAAAAGTGCTTTGTAAATTCAACAGAGTTATATGTGAAGTTTAGCAATTTCTTCCACTTATATAAAAAAGTACACTTTGAGGTGGGTGCTTACCTTCTCTTAGACGGTCTACTACAAAAGTAAAGCCTGTAGTCCTTGGATGTAAGACGTATTCATATTTCTGAAGTCCATTCTTTTCAGCAAATTCATTACTTCGAGCCGTGCTATTTTCTAAACAAAACAATAGGCCATTAGAAGCCATAAAATAAAGGAAGATCAGTGAGGTAAGGAAATGGTGCAGAATTTCTTTGATAAAAATGGCAGTTAATGTTTCTGTAATTAATATACTGAATCAAATGATAAGATAGAAATACTTCAGTAAATCCCTAACAAAGATCCCAGAGTTACCTATTTAATTGGAATTTCGGAAATTTTATAATAAGGTATTAATAGAAGTTTTATAGCAGTTTATAAATTCATATTCAAATCCTTAAAATTCTTTAAGAGAGTTCATAAAATAGTCAATATACAATGAAAACTGAAATACAAATAAAATACTAATAACTAAAATTCTCATAAGATAGTCGTTACATAATAAAAATTGAAATACTAAAATATAAAGATGAAATAAAGTAAAACTAAAATAGTAATAATACATAAGGATCTAGACATCCAGAAGAAATAACTAACAATTTGCCAAATATATCAGATCAACATTTTTTTAACCCAATAATTTAGGGCTTCAGTGCAAAGTGAAATATCTGCGTTGCTCAGGCACAGAGCACACTGATATTACTAGCCAGCACCACTCCACGACAGAATGGGCACACGATCAGCACACCACGTACAAACATCTGAACACGGTTTGGCTGAATATAGTTACTGAGTCAAGTATATGTTCCAGTTGTTGGCAAAATCTTCTTTTTCCATTCCATGAGGTAACTTTATAAGTTCCAAGAAGAACCAAACCCATTATTCAGCAATTATATTTGGAAAAAGTAAAGTGTTCAGAAATTTGGCCTCAGCTGCTGGGGGAGATCATGAAATACCTTCTGATGACAGCAGACGTTAGAACCTGCAATCCTCAGCGGCATCCTGAAATTTATAGACCATTCCAAGTCACCAGGAAAAAACCTATATGTAAAAATACTACTTTCCGAGGAGTAAATTTAAGACCACAGAATCCTCAAAATCTCAAAAAACTATAGATGGATTCCACGACACTAAAATATTCAAAGAACACTCCTATAAACTGAGTCAAAAAATTAAACAGATCTCCAGCAAGTCAAAAGTAAAAGCTCTAAACAAGAAAAGTAATAAGCTCCTCTCACATTCATTTGAGGGGAATATTCTGGGCATGGGACTACAGAACAGTATTTTATAGACAACTGGCAGGACCTTACATGGGATTGGGAATCCCAGAGACACCACAAAGAAGAGTAGTTAACTACTCTTCAGTTTGCTCTTCCAGCTGGTCACAGACTTGGGGGATCTGAAGACAAAACTGAAAGCTGTTGTAGAATGTGAATACAGGTGGAATACAGGTGGAAGTAGTTCTAAAAGGCACAGAAGTGGAAGTAAGTGTGGGAAGTAAGAAGTAAGTAAGAAGTAAGAAGAAGTAAGTGTGGGAAGTAAGAAGTAATCACAGATCAGAGGTGCAGATTTTCCCCTCCATCCCCACTTTATCTACCCACCCCCAGACTGTGATTATTAGGACTGACAGACTAGCACCCCACTTTCTCACCACAACCTCCTATCTCATTAGCCTGCTCCCTGTAACACTCCAATGCCAGCACGCCTACCACTCCAGTGAGGCTACTGGCTGCTCGGATGTTCTCAAACCAGCCAGCCATATTCCCACCTCAGAGTCTGTGCAATGGTTCTTCCCTCTACCCAGAATGCCTTCTACCCAGACATCTGCATGATTTTCTGCTTTGTTCATTTAGTCTCTCCTTAAATAAGAACTTAAGGGGCCTCCTCAAACCACCTTATATAAAACAGCACCCTATGTCCCCATCTTTTATTACTCTCTCTCCCTCTCTCTCTCTCTCCTTATCTTGCTTTTCTGTACAGCATTTATGAATACCAGACATATTTTTATTATTAGTTTTTAATCTGTTTTTCCTCATTAGAAAGTAAGCTTCATGAAAAGTCTCATGAAGAGACTTTTTTGTATATAAATCTCCAGGCACTCATATATCTATTAAAAGAATAAGTTTTACATACAAGGGTGTTTAATTGCATGTAATGTTATATAATTGTTAAAACCTAGAAAAGCTTTCCTTTCTTAAAACAAAACAGGAAATCATAATATAGCAACTGTGATGGTTAATTTTATGTGTCAAACTGACTAGGCCAAAGTACCCAGATATTGGTCAAACATTATTCTAGATGTTTCTGTGAAAGTGTTTTTTGATGAGATTAATATTTAAATCAGTAGACTTTGAGTAAAGCAGACTATCCTGCATAATGTGGGTGGGCCTCATCCAATCAGTTGAAGGTCTTAAGAGAAAAAGACTAATCTCCTCAAGCAAAAAATAATTCTGCCAGCAGACTGCCTTTGGACTCAAACTGCAACTCTTCCCTGGGGTCACAGCCTGTTGACATACCCTGTATATTTCTGACTTGCCACCCTCCAGAATCCTTAATTTCCTTAAAATAAATTTGCCACCCCCCACCCGTTCTCTCTTTTTCTCTCCCTCTCTCTCTCTACACACACACACACACGTGCGTGCGCACACACACACACGGTTCTGTTTTTCTGGACAACCTTGACTAATGATGTGAGAGAATACAATATTAAGTACAAAGAAAAGGGTAGTTCTGGTTTTCCAATTTTAAAATTACGTGTATGTGTGCACATATATATGCCTATGGATGTGTGTATGTATACGTGTATGTGTGTGTGCGCACATGCACGTGTGACCAAATGACCCAAAACAATGGAACAAAATCAGAATAGTGCTTCTTTATGGGCAGTGGGATTAGAGTAATATTTGTGCTCCCTTCTATGTTTATAAATTTCCCCAAAATAACATATATTACTTGCATAAGCAAAAAAAAAAAGTTATAAACAACAATAATATATGAAAATAGAATATAAAGTTAATTTAAACGTACTAATTTGAAAATGTGCAAACAAGTTGGATTTACAACTTAAAGAGGATTATAGAACATTCTCTTTGGGCTTAAAAACCCAACTGTAAAGTTAACTGTGGTAGCTAAAAACATCTTTGAGTTAACAGATACATTTTCAAACCAAAAGTATTTTGCTAGCCTACTTAAAAAAAAAAAAAATCATATCCCAACTCAAAACTATTTGTAAAATACTGTTTAAAAACATTTTTTTTTTAACTTCAAGATCAGTCTATTTATTTCCTCTATCTCGCAAATAGTCTGGCTTTTGCAAGTTGGCCTTAAAATGTAAATACTGTTTTAACTTTAAAAATATTCAACTACATTATGTAATAATAAGTACTCTGGACCCTGAAAATATTCAACTAGATGTTAAGTTCATCACCTAAAAAAGACACTTGAAAATACAGACTGAAAAGTTTTAAATATCTACTTTATAAACTCTGAAGGTCTAATGTATGAACATTTTAATACTGATGTACCAAAGTAACAGCAACCCAAGAGCTTTTATCCCATTAGCTTTTAATTACTAAATAACTTCCACAGTTGCCACTCTTTAGTGTACATTTGACATTCACAAAATCGATCATTTCAGTAAATGACTTTCTATACTCTAACACAGATGATATTTCAATACTCAAATTTAAGTATTATACATTCTAAAGATTAAAAAATGTAAATATGGCTGTCCATTGAAATTTCCTAATGATAGTTCAGTTCTGGGAATCAATCAACTTACAACTTACAATATATTTTCAAGCTTAAACAATATGCAGCCAATATTACACTCAGTACTACCTTCTGTGACCCAACTACTATTAGAATTTTAACTACAAAAATCAAACATATACAGTAAGTATAATTTAGTAAATAATACTAGTATATAAAAATTGCCATGCTTCATTTAGCTCAGTTCCAATCTGTCATACATTAGTCAAAGATCTCTTCCTTGGTATTAATGGTAAATGTTTCCCAAAATACTTTAATTTCCCTATTAACATATTACAGTTTAGTCACCCATTCACCTACTTAAGTAGTTGTGTAATTTGTATTTTCCATCTTGCACTCTTTTTTGGGGTACTGGGTTCCATAAATTGCTATGTCCACAGAGTGAATTAGAACGTTCATTTACTTGTTCTCCTCTCAGGTTCTAAGGGTTGCCATTCTTGGTAGCTCTTAGCTGCCTCGATCTAGTATTGAGGATTTAGAAGACAAGTTCACAGGGATCTCTCCGTACTATCTGTGAGTTTTAGATTTCAGTTCTAACCTGCTTCAGTCTGTCTTCCCTTGTACAGCAGACGTTTATACACTGGGCCCTTCTCAAATTCTGCTGTACTTTTCTTAAAGTAACCAGGGTACTAAAGCTTTTGAATTTTGCTCTTTTGAGTTGAAGGATTCTATAAAACTACTTCCTGTTGTAGCTTACTCCCTCCCCCACCAATATTCATCAACCAGAGCAGTTCTTCTCTCCGTCTTAGAAATCCTAGACTGCAATAGAAGGCTTCACCTGCAGAAATGACCTGTGGTTCAAAAAAGATGTGAAGCCCACTGATTTAGTAAGAATGAAAGACTGCATTTTGTTTTTAATCTTTTAAGAATTCCTTGAGGGCTTCCCTGGTGGCGCAGTGGTTGAGAGTCCACCTGCCGATGCAGGGGACACGGGTTCGTGCTCCGGTCCGGGAGGATCCCACATGCCGTGGAGCGGCTGGGCCCGTGAGCCAGGGCTGCTGAGCCTGCGCGTCCGGAGCCTGTGCTCCGCAACAGGAGAGGCCACAACAGTGAGAGGCCCGCGTACCGCAAAAAAAAAAGGAATTCCTTGAGATCCACTGGCATTCTTGGCCTGTGTAATTTGGTATCTGGGAAGATAGAGAAGTCCTAGATATATTCTCCTGTGTCCCCTCTACAACTCAACGATGGCTGAATTTTCTTTAGGAAAAGGACAAGGCCTTTCCAGCTTATATTAGAGATAAGGCTTTAAAAATACCAGGAAAGGGGCTTCCCTGGTGGTGCAGTGGTTAAGAATCTGCCTGCCAATGCAGGAGACACGGGTTCGAGCCCTGGTCCGGGAGGATCCCACATACCGCGGAGCAACTAAGCTCGTGTGCCACAACTACTGAGGCCTGTGAGCCTGGAGCCCGTGCTCCGCAACAAGGGAAGCCACCACAAAAAGCATGCGCGCCACAACGAAGAGTGGCCCACACTCTCCACAACTAGAGAAGGCCCGTGCACACCAACGAAGACCCAACACAGCCAAAAATAAGTAAAATAAATAAATAATTAAAAAACAAAAAACAGGAAAAAGGCAACATACTAACTTAAATCAACAAGTGAAATTGGTTACTATTAGATCCTTTCCTTTTTTAAAAAAAATTAATTACTTGATTTGTTTTTGGCTGTGTTGGGTCTTTGTTGCTGCGCACAGGCTTTCTCTAGTTGCTTTCTCTAGTTGCAGTAAGCGGGGGCTACTCTTCATTGCAGTGCACGGGCTTCTCATTGCAGTGGCTTCTCTTGTTGTGGAGCACAGGCTCTAGGTGTGCAGGCTTCAGTAGTTGAGGCACATGGGCTCAGTAGTTGTGGCTCGTGGGCTCTAGAGCGCAGGCTCAGTACTTGTGGCGCCACAGGCTTAGTTGCTCCGCAGCATGTGGGATCTTCCCGGACCAGGGCTCGAACCTGTGTCCCCTGCATTGGCAGGAGGATTCTTAACTACTGTACCACCAGGGAAGCCCAGATCCTTTTCTTATAAGAAAGAAGTTGGAAAAAAAGGGTCTAATGGATAAATACGGATCTTGGAAGAGGACAGTGAATAGATATTTTAAAACTAGGCTTTGTTCTTCTTTCTCAAGATTGTTTTGGCTACTTGAGGTTTTTTGTGGTTATATACAAACTATATAAAGTAAAAGGCTGATATTTAAAGTATATACTGAGACTTAAAATATAAAGCTCTAAGATGGCAAGTATAAATAATACCTCTTGGAGTTGCCCATCATAAACTCTATGGGCTGGAAACCAGGAGTTCTGGGTTCTGATGTGCTGCTGACTAACTGAGTGACCCCAGGGATGGGCCAATAATCTTGTTGGTATTCAGTTGCTTCATCTGAGGACTGAGAAGTTTAGACTTGATAGCTAATTTTGGAGTTCCTTTGTGTTTTAAAATTCTGTGATCCAAACCAAGGGTACCTTACCTGTGAGATCAGTCCCTTCTGGGAATATGAGGAGTTGAAGTGGTTCATGGATATCACAAAAATAATCAATCATGTCTTCAAAATGGCTCTTATCATCCTTCCATTTCCTATGAATGAAGATATAGGCAGCAGCCTGCATGGCCCAACCTAGAATCAATTTAACAAGTATTTATGTATAATTTTAATACCAATATCCACATATTTCTGAATATAATATTTCAGAGTTTTGGAGTTTTACTATAAATTATTTACTTTCATAATAAGCATCTCATGATATACCTTAAATTCAGCACTGATCTCGGATTAAATAACACATATACCAGAGAATATTCTTAAAGGAGTCTGCTAAATTCTGGAATTTGCAAAATTCTCAAAAACCTCTTTTCAAGCAAAACCTAGCTATTAAAATACCAAGGAGAAAAACTTCCTTAACATCTATCAGTAGCTCATCCAAAGTTAACAATCCTATAACTTAAACAGATATTTTAACCAAGTTACCTACAAGAGATATATGACTGTGTGTTATCGGGCTTACAAAGCAGTAAGCAAGGGATTGTTCTCAAGCCATGTATACAAGCATTGTCTTCAATATTTCCCTTTCTGTACTACTCGATCTCTAAATCTAATTGCTGTTTTCAATGTAATCTCTTCTTTAGAGTTATTTTAAAAAGAAAATACGCAATGACTACTAAACACATTAATTAGAGCATACACTGTGATCACATTCCCTTTCTCTAAGGCGAATTCAACCTTGCTACTGAAGAGGCAGCTCTAGACGAGCCAGGTTTTTCCCAGCTGGCATCCCTCCCTGGCCAGAAATGACTAGAACTACTGTGGTAAATATCTGACTGAAGGCGGACAATGAATAGTCTATTCAGTAGTCCATGAAGCACGAAACCCTTGGCCCATACACAGTAACTGTCTTGGCCAAATGTTCTCTCTCAGGAATTTTACCTGGGACCATGGAGAAAACAAGCTGGTATATAAGACAAATGGATGGACAAAGAAAGCAGATAACAGAGACAGTAGCACCTGAGGCAGAGTAAAGGTGGCACACTATAGTGAAGACCTAAACAACAACTGTTTTACGTGTTGAGGCACGTAAAGCTGATTGTGATCAAGACCAAAAGATAGTCTTCCACAATGGCTGGCCAGTCTTTGGGTTCACCTCTTGGATATCCCAGAAGAGTCCATCTCCCTTATTGTCATGTGTATCTATCTTTACAATATACTTTTACTAGTTCAGCTAGAGGGGATGAGTGGTAGTTTCTTAAAAACACAACTAAAATAATAGCTATTATCATTTAGTAAATACAGTAGTACCCCAAGAATATATAAAATTATCATTAAATCATGATTTTAAAATCTGTAGGACTTTATTTGGTTTGAATTAAGTCCAAACTAGAATACTGTATTCTACGAATATAAATAAGCATATTCCCAAATAATCCACACTTTAGTATAGGTCTTGCTGATAATGTGTCCAGCTGCTGCTCACCCACTGTATTTATTGTCAGTCATATCCACCTGTACTGGAATTGATCCCACACTTGCCCCCTCTTACACGTCTCCTCTTTTACTTGAGGACACCTACATCCACAGTGCAGTGTGTAGGCGGTATAACTCTGGAATGAAATTGCCTGGGTTAGAATCATAGTTCCACCATAAACCAGCTTTAAGCCTTTGTCCCTTATTGACCCCAAACGTAAAAATAAGCATAATGCTGCAACAGTATTTACCTGATAGGAGTTGTTGTAAGAAATAAATTAAGATTATTTAGCACAAAGTATTCAATAAGTAATAGTTACTGTCATTATTATGATTAAGAAGTTACAATAATACCAAGGATATTGCATTAAGGAACATAAAAATGTAACCAAAAAAGTTCCCATTCACAATTGCCCAGCCCTACGCTAGTGTTTTGGAAATTATAAACTCTATTTTATTATTTTAAAGCTCATGCTTAAAATTTTTTCACCTTTCTATTTTTACAAACATTTAAACTTAAATAATTCTATCAACTTTGAGTTAATAATCTTCCCCCAAACAAAAAATTATGCTTTCCTCTTGTCCCTCTTCCAAGATTTGTAGAAATCATCCAATAGTTCCTCCAAATTGCTATTATTATTACTACTACTATTCCTTATGCTTCACAGAACGATTTTAATTATTTAGACTTGACTCGGGTTAAGTTTGTTGGCTTCTCTTCTTATCATTGTTTCTTATATCCTATGTCCTTCTGTTAGTCCTCCTTAAGGAACTTGTTTCAAAAAAATGTTTGAGTTTTTGCAATTTATGAAATGTATATATATATTTTTTGTTCTCAATTTTGGAGGCTAGCTTGGCTTAAAACAGAACTTGAGATTTTAAATCATTTTCCCCTCGGAATTTCAAAGCTGTTTTTCCCACAATCTTCTTATAGAAGTCTGATATCAATCTGATTTCTGCAGATAATTTTTTTCCCCTCTGGAAGCTTTATTTTCTCTTTATCCTTGGTTTTGTGAGACTTCACCAGTATGCAACTTTTTCATTAATTCTGCTCAGCAGTTGGTACACTCTTCCAATATGAGTCTCTTTAACTTTGGGAATATTCCTTCCATTATTTAAGAAAACACTACTTTTTCTCTTCTTCATTCTCTCAGACTTTCTATTTAGAACTTCTCTTAGATAGATGTTCAAACTTCTGGTTTTGTCCTCTCATACTTTTTATCTCCCTTCATTTGATGCCGTGTTTAAGGAAAATCTTTTAGCTTAGTCACCTAACTCATTCATTTGATCTTTAGCTGTTTCTAGTCTACTAATTGAGTTTATTTCAGCAATCAACTGTTTACTTGTCAAATTTTATGGACAAATAGCAAAAACTATAATAAGCTATGACAAGTACAAAGAGGAGTAATTTTAAAGAAATGTTTATTGAATGGTTACTTTGTGCCTAGTACTGTTCTAAGCATTTTTCATTAATTCAATTAGTTATCAAGACAACTTTATGAACTAGGTAAAATTATTATTCCTATCTTATGGATGAGGAAACTAAGGCACACTGAGAACTCAGAGAACTAGTAAGTGGTAAAATCAGGTTTCAAATGCAGGCAGTCTGGCTCCGAAGCTGATGTCTTTAACCACTGTACTAAACACAGCCTCTCTGCAATACATACTCGAATCTCTCTAAGGGTATCAGTTAAACACAGTATAAGCTCTCCTCAGAGAAATGTCTATTCCTCACAGTTTATTCCTAGACTTCCTTTAAAGCTGTGTATTTTTCGCAAATGTTAATTCTGCATTGTCCTCATATTTGTAAAAGATGTTCTAGACTGAACAATACTGACAGGTTGAGTGTTATTTCTCCATTCCGAGTGAGAATATCTGTTGCTCCCTTGGGGGGAGGGAGCAGTAGGAAAACCCATAGGGCTGTGTCATAAAACTTTTCAAATATTATGTATATGTTTCAGAAATCCCAGAAAGGGAAGTAAAATGACTAAATCAGTCAGCCTCTTGGACCTCTCCTCTGAAGATGTGATGATTCTTCCCCTTTGTGCTTTGCCTTTTCATGTTCCATTTATACATTATACATCACTAATGCTTTTGAATCTGTTTTACTCCCTTTAGCTTTAATGTTTTCTCCCTCTCGTAAAAACCACAGGAAGACCTCATGAGTCTTTTTCTTCTCATTTCATTGCCATCAGTACACATGTTATTCACGTTTAAAGCAATATCCAGATTTTTCTTAACATTCTTGAGGTCCTCATACAGTTTTAGACATTTATTTCATAAGTCTATGGGCTGATAAATGACAGTGCAACTGATCCTGTCATTTGAAATTAGTCTATATAACTTGCCTGTTTTATACTTTTTCCATTGGAGGACATTCTGTCTATCACCTGAATTTCTCAGACAAGTACTGGGAGCCTGGCAGGTTTATAAAAATAGATTCTGTGGATGCTGGCATGGCTCTGTTAACACCATCTACTTTCAAAAATCCCATTTACGTTACCAGCACTGCATTCTCAAAGCAGAAAGGAGTAATCTCTAAGCATACTCTATTGTCCAGAGGTATTCCATAATTTTAGAACCTGGTTTTCCTTGGCTTAAATTTTCTTTTATCAAATTTTAGAGTTGGCTAGGAAAAAGGAAAACCCAACCAATTTACTTGAGTGTATTTTTAACATGCATTCTTTCTCCATAAAAAGTAAGCCCTTTTCAGCATTTTCTTTTTCCTTTTTTTTAAAAATTTAATTTTATTTATTTTTTATACAGCAGGTTCTTATTAGTTATCCATTTTATACATATTAGTGTATATATGTCAACCCCAGTCTCCCAACTCATCCCACCATCACCCCACCACCACTTTCCCCCCTTCGTGTCCATATGTTTGTTCTCTACATCTGTGTCTCTATTTCTGCCTTGCAAACCGATTCATCTGTACCATTCTTCTAGATTCCACATATATGTGCTAATACACAACATACGTTTTTCTCTTTCTGACCTTACTTTACTCTGTATGACAGTCTCTAGGTCCATCCACGTCTCTACAAATGACCCAATTTCATTCCTTTTTATGGCTGAGTAATATTCCATTGTATATATGTGCCACATCTTCTTTATCTATTCATCCTTTTTTCATTTTAGTGTAGATGAATATACAGTTAACCCCTGGTCAACATGGGGGTTAGGGGTGCCTACCCCCAAGCACAGCCTAAAATCCACTTATAACTTTACAATCATCCCCTCCATATCCATGGTTATGCATCCACGAATCAACCAACCACAAATTGTATGGTACTGTAGTACGTATTTATTGAAAACAAACCCACAGGTAAATGGACCCATGCAGTTCAAACCTGTGTTCAAGGGTCAACTGTAGTTAAGAGAATCATAAAAATATCTATACTACTCACCTATTGTACTAAAAACTGAACTTCAAAAATAGATTAATTCATCATTGTTGTCCAGGTACTTATTAATTCATTACGGTATTTACTTTGGGACTATGAATGCAATACCAGAAACAAAAAGCAATGTGCAAGAGATAAAACAAACTGTTCTCTTCAACATATTTTCAATCCTGAATAGAGGGTGTGGATACAACCAAGGGAATGTTACCCATAGGCCTCTATTAAATGAAAATGAGTGATAATACGAACAGATGC